CCGGCTGCCGCTGCAGGGGCCCGGCGGGGACAGAAAGGACACGGGCACAAAGTGACTGCGCAGCTCAGGGCCTGCATCGTCAGCACCGCAACGCGATCCCGCACACCCGCCTTCCTAAGGGTCTGCGCTCTCCTGCTTTCCCTCGGGCATCTCCCCAGCTGCGAAGGCTCCTCCAGAGCACCCCACAGCACTGACCCACCGCAGTGATTATTTACCACCGTGAGCAAGGACAGCCTGTGGCTGAAACCGCTTCAAAGCAACGGCTGGAAGTGGTGCATTAGCCAGCCCCGCTCTCTGCAGCCTCGGGCTCTCACTGTGGCGGCCACGCGCCCCTGGAGCCAGGTACAGCTCCCTTCTCCGTGTCTGAGTCACTGCCCTTCCCTGGCACTGCAGACAGGAGGCACCCACTGGCGCCCTGCCCTCCTCCTTCTGCTCCTCATCTCACACCCTGCTCCTGCTCCGCCAGGAGCTTCCAGCAGCCCCCAGCCCGTTTTCCCGCTCCCGAAGGGAAGGCTTCCAGCCCGGCACACACCGCCTTACCGCATCCCGTCGGGGTGCGCCAGTCTCCCACCGGGATGCCCAGGGCCTGGCACACGAGGGCGTACGCCTGGATGGCCTGGCACAGGCCGGTGCCGTTGCTGTGGGAGCCGCAGAGGTCGTAGACGCAGCTGTGCACGAAGGCCGTGGGCTCCACCACGGCGCCGCACTCCCACAGGGGCCCGCTGCTGCTGTTGATGAAGCCGCAGTAGTCGGGGCTGAAGTAGAGCGCCTCGAGGGCCGCGTCGCAGAGGCTGCAGTTATCCAGGCAGCCCGGGGAGCACCTCCGCTCGGGGTGGGACACGCGCCAGCTCTCCCCCAGGTCCAGCACGGACACCGCCAAGCGCCCGTCGGAGCGAAGGGTATCGTCCTCGGGGTCCTTGTTGTAATTTCCGCAGAGACCACACGTCGCATTCATGTACGTGCCCGGGACAGAGATGGAAGCATAGTGCTGTCCGTCGTAGGTCACCACAAGGCCAAAATCAGTCTCCAGGGCCGTAGAGAAGCCGCTCTGGTAGACTTTGATTGCACCCAGCTTCAGGGAGACGGGCAAGGAGGTCACCAAGCCATCGACCTGTGGGAACAAAGCAGGAAGACTGAACCACTGTGCGAAACAGCAGAGACCTCGCGCTACAACATGGACAGCAGCTGCACGCAGAAGATGGCCTCAGGGCTGTGCTCTGGAAGCAGCATGGCCCTCACCTGTGGCTTGGCTGAAACAGCAGAGACCTCGCGCTACGACACGGACAGCAGCTGCACGCAGAAGGTGGCCTCAGGGCTGTGCTCTGGAGGCAGCATGGCCCTCACCTGTGGCTTGGCCACAGCTAAGCCAGCTCGTGCCCCAGAGGAGCAGACCTGAGGCATTTTCTCTTTTGGCAGGGCTCTTACCTTTACTTTCCCAAAGCTGCCCTTGGGGAGGACAATCTTGTGTGAATAAGCCTCCACAAAGATATCCTTCAGCCAGGAGACGGAGGAGCCGCCTCGGTTCTCATTCTTGGCCTCCACGTTGAAGTAGGGCAGCTTGGACCCTGGCCAGCACTGCCTGGCGAGGAGATAGGAGCAGGAACCCTGGAAGTGAAAGAGGAAGCCGTCGAACGTGTGGTAGTGGGGATCTCCAAACACCACGCAGGTGCTGCTCTCCACGGGCACGCACTGGAAGAACTTGATCTTCGGCTCACACGCTTCAAAGGGGCCGCAAGCCATCTCCTGGCAGAAGATCTCATTGTTGAAGTCCAGGCAGCGGCACTTGGTGGTACAGTTTGAGTTCTCCCAGAAGATCTCTCCTTGACGAAGAAACTGCCCTGAAAAGAGAAAGAAAAAAAAAACATTGCATTACTTTTCTGATCAGAGGACCTGTCATTGAGCTTAGAGGACACTCAAACTGAGCCATGTCATCCCCCGGAGAGGTTAGCCAGCCTCACAGTCAAGGCCACCAACTAAGCATCTTCCTTCAGTGCTTATCACCAGTTCACTGTGACAAGCAGAGACTCCCAGCAGGAGCCATTTAGCAAAATGCTACAATCACAAGCTTAGTTTTAAGCATAGGCTCAGTGCAATTTGAGTCAAATTGCATCCTCCCTGTGTCTGAAGTTCAGCAGACGGTTTGAGGGCTTTTGTGAATCAGAGCTTGTGCAGCACTGTGCAGGTCAGGAAACTGCTAGGCTACTCCTTTCATTTTTGGCTCATGCTACCCTGATGCCAGGTCATTTCTGCAGCAAACAGGAGCTCTTCATGCTTTTTTCTCAAAGGGGAACTGGACTGCAAGCATGCGCACTTCGGAGGCCATTTCCACCTCTGCCATTGTAATTGCACCGTTCTATAACTTTGTTTCTGCAACTGGAATGACTCATCACATAACTTCGCAGGTCACAGATCATCCTGCCATAAACAGCCCGAAGTCAATTTGTTTCCATTTAAAAAAATGTTTCTACTTATTTGGTAACTAAAGAGCTGTTCGTAAGTAACCCCCATGCCACACCAGAGAGGACAATAAAACAAACAGAGAGAGAAGGAGCTAACTGGGAGGACGGCAGGAACCGTAACGGGAATCTCAGGTTTTTCTAGCGCGAGACACAAGGGACAGAGCGAGGCCCGGAGCACGAAGTGTGGCGAGCGCCGTGAGCGCCAGCCTGCCCTGCAGATGGTTGTCTTACACAGCCCTCCCTGGCCCGGGGTTCACTTTGCACGCTGCCTGCTCTACCTCTCCTGCACTTCCCGGCCCCCCGCACAGGGAGCTGCTTTGTGCCCTGTCTCCTCCTAGGGAGACCTGTCCCAGCTGTCGCAGCGCGTGCGATTCGGGCAGTGAAGCGGGGTCCTCGCCTCGCACGGCGGCTCCTCTCGCGGTGGGACGAGCTGTCCCCCGGGCGTTACCAACGCAGGCAATCCGGGCCGGGTGCGTGCAGAGCCCTCCTCGGCTCGAGGACGAGGCACAGGCTGCAGCACTGCGCCAAGCCGGGCACTGCTAGCTCACGGGAGCCACTAGATGTTGCTAGATCCGTCTGGATCCGTACGAGCCTTTGGGTAAAGCGGGGCATTTCGGCACAAGCCTAAACCCGACTGTGAAGAAGCCACACGCCTCAGAGCGGTGGCACCTCGGCTTCCAGCAGCAAGCGACAAGGCACTCTCGCTGGGAACGCTCCCAAAGCAAAGCAGACCCTCCAGACAGCTGCATCTGTCAAATGGTAATGCAATAATCTCCCTGCAGCAAAGTCCCTTCGGCACCACTGCATGCATTTAGTCTCCTTATAGCTCTGCACCGTCAGTGACACATGCACAGTCACCGTAATCGCTGCAGGGGCATTGAATTTCGCTGCATGCACTCGGAGAACCTGCAATTCCTGCCGCTTTGGAGAAGGAAATGCAGCTGGCACTGGTGGCTCCTGGAAGCCAGGGGTGACTTCGCTTGGGGCATGCAGCAAACCAGAGACACAGACAGGACCCAATCCTGGTCACACAATTCAGTCCCCCTGACTGCACCTAAAAGGGAGCTTGTAACCCTGGATTTCCTTGGCATACAAGGAAATACAAATGGAGCAGCGGCCCAGAGCAGGCACGCACATCACTGTTAAGCTTCACAGTCCCGTTATGCTTTACTCCTCTGCGCTACAATTTTTTTATGAAGCCAAAGACATTTCTCTGTTACCTCTCAGACTGCAGCCACGAGCCGGGTCTATTTCTTTGCCATCTATTTTGAAAGCCCAGCGTCCAGGGACGTTAACGTTGGTTGTGTCTTCAATATTAACTATGTCTGGGGTTCTGGAGCCTGGGAGGCTGAAAAAATTGCTGATATTTCCTCCATTGAATCCAGCCTAAAGAGACAGGGATCAAAATTTATCAGTCAGCCTTGCTAGAGAAGCACAACATTGCACTTCTGTTCTTCCCTCCCACCTGGCCCCAAATTAATACTGAACAGGGTAAAAGAGCATCTTCAGGAACTTCTTTTTGATCCTGATTAAGCAAGATGGACTAGGTGGTCACCAGAGATCCGTGACTCTGCAAAAGCCTCACCTGGGCCATCACACCACCAAGTCCTGTGAGAGGATCCCCTCCGCTGGCTGTCCCTGTAGTCCAGCTGATTTCATGGTAGTTAAATATGGCAAAGGAAGACACGCCGTCTGTGATGAGGACAGCTTGGAAAGTGTTCACCTGTTGAGAACACAAAGAGATTCACAAGATGAGACTGCTCTTGCAGACAGTTTGTCTGCCCTTCTTTCACATCCCTCGTTTGCCCAGGCAGGAGGCGGGAGCCTTGCAGGGAAAAGCAGCAGATCCTGAAATACGCTCTCCCTCCTGATGTGACTCCAGCTGCTCTCATCCCCTCCATCCGGGAAGGGACAATGACATTCCCGGTCCAATTTAACACCGATAGATGGCAGCATGAGATTAAGCTCACGGAATACAGGATTTGGACTGTTACAAGCTGTTATCTTCCCGTTACCCAATCCTGGCTTTTCTCATCACCAAGTTATCTCCCTGGGTTCCCCTCCGTGCTCATATTCCACAGCACTGCTAAGGGCAGCATGCATCAAAGTCTGCCGTGTCTTACACCCAAGGAAATGCTGCTGTGCTTAGCTAGCGGAGCCCACAGCTACCTGCCAAACCTGCTCATCACATTCTTCCTTTCACTTGAAATGACTCTGCATTTCCAGACACAAATATTACACAGACATTCACTCAACTGTGAACCCGGGTCTCAGGCAAAAAAGAGGTGCTTTGCCAGAAGGCAACGTAAAATTAAACCCTTCACTTCTACTGTTGTACAGAGAGGTGAAAAACTTAATCCCCTTAATTCGCAAAATTGCTGTTCAAAATAGAGCTGAAGAATTTTCTGCAGCTTTTCTGCATTGCAAACAATTTCCTCCTTAAGTTGCATCGTGCTATTCCACGTGCCAAGCAGGCACCTTGGTGGCTATTGAACGGGGAGGCTGCTCTATAACAAAATAAATTGCATTGTGTTGCAAATGTAATTCTTCAGGCAATACGCGAATCTCTGTATTGCTCGCTGTCTGCAAATATATATATATATATTTTTTCAGTGAGCACTGCCAGAACTGGAAAAAAATATGCATTAAATCTCAAGCCTCTCTAACAAATGGAAAAGAGCAGCACTGTTTATCAGAGTCAGCTCCTCAAGACAGAAGCCGCCAGCTCTTGGCACTCACAATTTGCACACTGATCCTGAAAAACCCATTCCCCAACGTTGCAAGGAGAAAGTAACTGCTAAGCTTTGTTTTGAGGCTGCTGTAGCCTTGGAAGTTGAGCTAAGAGGGCAAAAGTCGGACCTGTATCACATCCTAGTCAGTCACTCGCCCGACGGCCAGGCTGCATTACTGCCACAATAAGTCGCCTTTAAACTGAATCACGCTCGAGAAAGCGACTGGAGATTAGTGGTGTGAACTTTGAGTGATTCACGCCACGGCAAACGGCATCAATCTCCCCTTTCCCAGCTACGGAGAAGCCCCCGAGCTAACGTTCCATTAATAAAATTTGGCACTTCCAAGGTCCCTGTAGCCCTGTGCAAAAATAGCTCTGTTTTACCAATGCAGAAACAGAGGCAAAGCAAAGGTCACGTAGCAAGGCAGAAATTATCCAATACGATCGAGCCAAAACTCCTACCCAGCATCAGAGCCTGCTTGTAGCATGCAGCACAGTAAAACCAAAGAGAGGATGCTTATCCTCAGGATCCTGCAGCGTACAGCAAGGCCCTTAGGGGCTGCCGTGGGAGAGGACTGCCACGCTCACCTGCCACAACGGCAAGCGAGGAGCGGGCAGAAGAAATGACTCGCTCAGGTCTCAACGCAGCCCATGTCAGAGGCAGGGAGCACAATCTGTGTTTCTGGTTCCTGACTCATTAACCTCCTGGTCATTCGTGGGTTCTTCTTTCACCAAACGCACTCACAGACACAGACTCCAACATCCAACAGCGTCAGTCAAGAAGCACAACCCTCCGCCCTTACCGGAGTCGTGCTGCTCCCTCCGTAGAAGGTGACTTCCTCCCAGGTGGCGATGAAGACCCAGGTGGCAGAGAAGGACGTGTCTTTGAAGTACTTGCGGACGTCTTTGGAGGCTCTCCTGAGCAGCTCGGGGTCCGTGCTCTCCCTGTAGTAGATCTCTCCTCGGATGCCGTTGTGCACATCCGCCCAGAAGGGAGCGAGGAAGGCCCGGCCGTCCGAGAGGGGGAAGGCTTCTGGGGTGAACTGGCTCACCAGCACGTTGAAGGAGATGACGCCGTTGTTGTTGACCTGCGGGGAGAAGGCAGGCCCGTGTGAGCGAGGCTGGGCAGCGGCCACACGGCTGCCAGGCCGGCAGGACACGCAGCTCCCGACAGGGGCTGGCTCTAACAACGAGTCTGCGAGCAGGCCCGAGCGTCTGCGGCCCAGATTCAGCTAACGCACCTCGGCCTCTTCCCTCAGCTGGGCTGACGGGCTGCTTTGGACTGCTTGTGCACACGGAGTTAGCGCCCACAAACACGGACTCGCTCGGGAGTGCGGCTTGGTTGTGCTGACTTGGGCTAACGCCTAAGGCTCAGTTTTTATGTACTCACGTTAATCCGCCCTTAGTACTGCCTGGCAGGGACGGTTCTCCCCTCACCCGGCTTGTGCTGTGATATCCTTTAAAAACAGCACTGGTCCATAATTTTCTTGGGCGCCCAAATGAAGGTCCAAATCACCGCTTTTTTTTTTTTTTTTTTCTTGAGGGTCTCTGCAGGTTCTTGTTTCTTGTCATGTAACAGGAATAATGTTCCTTGTGTCAAGGCCCTAGCTTTGCTGCACCATTTAATCACCTACAAAGACAATTTATTGCCTTTTATATTCCTTCCCCATGAACATTAGTCCATTAAATATACCTTTGACTTTCTTAATCATAAAACCTATCAGTTCATGAAATCTAAGAACTTGTCAGGTAGGTACTAATAAATCTTACAACTCTTGATGACAGGGAAAGCGTGTTTAAAATGCAGCTGCTAATGGCAAGGAAAAGAATAAAAGGAAATCTGCAGCAAAGTTGCTTCACCACTTACATAAATGGTTCTGTACGATGATCCAAAGAAGATGAACGGGACAGAGAGCTTAATCTCAGGAGAGCTTCCATCATCAACTTTGGGCGTTTTTGTGTCATTCTGCCAGAACGGATACAGACTCGTCGTGGCGTGAGCTGAAAGGAGAAGCACGGTCCTTATGGCAATGTGGGGCCTGCTCCTGACTGCGGACACAGCCCAGCCCGGCCCCTGGAATGGCCAGAACCAAAGCTCTGACCTGCAGCCTTGCCTCTGCAGAGCAGGGAACACGGCCCTGCTGTGCCCTGCGCACGAGCCTGCCCCGCTCACCGCCCCGGACACCCCTTCCTGGGTTAAAGCTTACGGCGACGTGACCACTCCAACATTTCCCGAAAAATTTCTGCTGAAACGTATTGCCAGCAAACATAATCCTCCTAAGAATATGCATCTCAGCACAAGCCTGTGGCTTTCTACAGGACTGAAAAGCGTCCTCCCCTCAGCGCTGCTCGGAAGTGCGCGCGTCCCCAGGGCAGAGGCCCCTGCCAGGCGGCCCTGCCTGGTCTCTGTCACCTGCTGTCCCGTCTTGCCAGCTCCTTCCCGGAGCGACTCCCTCGCCGGGGACGCGGGGCCTCGGCTGCGCTCTCCCCCCTCCTCTCCTCTTTGATGTAGAGCAGAAACGCATTGTCCCCGCGATACACAACTGAGGGTGACGTGAGCGACGGCGCTCGGAACAATCCGCCCTCTGTTTAGCTCAATTCAGGACTTGCTTTTATTTTCTAGGTCCTAACCTGCAGCTTCCAGAGGCCTCTTGCTGAAGGGAACTTGCTCCAAGTGCAGCTTTAAAAGAGGCAAAGGAGTGTCTTGCAGCTCCCTGCTCTGGAGCCATTTGAGCTGTCCCCGGCTACAAGATGGGGCTTAGACTTAGGTCTAACTGGGGCTTAGACGAGGCGTAGGTCTAATTCCTTTTCCAGATGTGCATCTCAAGCACTTGCTGAGCGTTAGCTTCTTAAGCGTTACTAGCAGGATGCTGCTGCAGCTCTGCATGCATCCCTCCTGCCCGAGCAGCTCGCCAGCCCCTGCCCACACGGAGTTTTAACCACCGGTGGCATTTCTCGCGGGGGAACTGCCGGCCTCATTTTACAAGAAAAGAAACAGCCATGGTTTCCAAAAGAGCTGTCCCCAGTAGCTCTCGGCTCCCTGCTAGAGGTCCCTGAGTCCTATTTTACAGCAGCAACTGGCAAGGCAACCACAACGTCTTGCATGTGCCTCGTGTGCCCACACACACGCTCGCAGATGTAAATGCTCACAGAGCTCAACCACTTATGCAGCCCCTGCGTCCTGCCAGTTTTTTCAGCTTCACCAAGCAGCCTGCCAGGTCCTCATTTAATGTAAGGCATCGCTGCCTCACGGCTCCCAGTGAAGCGAGGCCCATTTGTGCAGGCTGCCGATCCGTCTCCCGCGACGCGCTCCATCACTCTTCCACGCTGGCACCTGTGCTTACCCACAGCCGCTCACCAATTCCCACGCGTTGCATTCGCCCTTAAAACCAGCAGACCTTCCAACCCCAAAGGAAAACCTGACCTCGACCTGGCGTCGCGCTCGCTCCCGCGCAGGGGACGAGTGGATTTTCCCGTGCGGTCCCTGGGCACGGCACCGCTCCGGAGCAAGCGCTTCCCCGTCACGGGGGACGAGCAGTGCCCGCGGTCGGAGGTACTAACCTTCATGCCAGGCAATGAGCACGGAGAGGGCCACCCAGGTCCGAAGCAACATTCGGTCGTTCATCCTAGAGGGAAGACACAACCCAGACACGCATCACGTTGGCAGGACAGCACATCCTCCAGCAAAGCCCGGGTGGCACCTAGAGCAACCACGTCCTAAAGCTGCCTAAAGTTCACGTGGGCATTTTGCAGATGGAGATCCCTCGCCCGAAGTGCTGACTTCATTATGTGGCGTAGAGAGAGCTCCCTGGTGATAAAAGCACACTGCCCCACAGGTACTGTCAAAGTAAGCCCCTGCCATAACAGGAGAGGGGTTAATTTCACGCCGAGAGTTTTGCAAATAGCCCCATCTCTCAGTAGTCTCCTAATTCTCCTAATGGTCTCCCGTTCTCCTAACAGTTCACAACAGATTCCTGCGTGATCTGCTTAGCACAGGGGTGCCTCTGCCCGACCTCAAGACAAACGGCTTTGCCTTGCTCCAAAAACGAAGCTGGTTATAAGTTACTTGCATCACTACGGACTTCAAATGCTGCTTTAAGGAATCCTTTGTGCAGGTTGGTAATACAACCAGCAATTAACGTTTGTGACTAGTGTAAAAGGAGCACAAACATTTGTGCAGCTGGGCAATTTCCTCGCTGTACAGAAGTCAATGATATAGAGAGAAACAAAAATGAGGCTGGATACGTGAAGGAGAAAACCTGCACCCGTTTGAATTCCTTTCACGTCTGACACAATTTGTTACTCATTATTAATCAAATAGGAAATATTGCTAAAGTACCTGCTATGATTTCCTCACTCCTGTTCATTACACGGAGGCACAGCTCATGCAGAGCTAATAGGAAGCAATCATGCCCTCCTCGTGTGCATGCACATGAATAAAAATTGCAGGATCAGCGTTGGACACCAATTATATCTACACATTACCTATAGCCTGCGTTTCCATTTCTGCCTCCGTATCAAATAACCTGTAAATGTCACACACATTTCAATTGTGGGGACACAACTGCCACAAAACACTGCATCTCTTTACGCTCTCTCTCTGGATCTCCTTCTATAATCTGGGAACAGTGACAGGTCCAACTACTCTACATATACAAGTAACATAAGTAAGTGAGGAACGTTACGTCCTCTGTGCCCCAGCACTGACGCTTAAGTCCGGGTAATGGGAGCTTGGAAAGCACAGAACAGGGTGACGGGCAACTTCCACACTGGCCAGTGCTTTGCCGTGCTCCAGTCACAACTACGCTGGCAAAAATCTGCTTTCAGCTAATTTGTTCTGGGCTGAGAAAAACTCATTTCACCCTGCAAGAACTCCGCTACATCCCTTATCTCGAAAAGACGAAAACATGACAACAGATTTTCACATAGGTCATAAATCGCAGTCCCTGCAGCTTCTTTAGCGGAGAGCAGGCACAGCATGGCCAGAAGAGAATTGGGCGGTCGGAGAACGAGAGCAAGGAAGAGAGTGCTCAGGAAACACGACAGAAAACAGCAAACGCATCACTAAGATATCACACTCGAAAACGCATTTTTGTCAGTATGGAGGGAAAAAAATTACCAACCTGCTTTGTAGATTAGAGGAGAAATTAAGTCTGAAATTTTAAACCAAGCTTGGTGAAAATTATGTCAATGCAGAATGCATGTCCATGCTCTTTTGCCAATTACTGCTGATGACCAAAGCGATGTCTCAGTCCCCTTGCTCTTGCAATTGAAAAGTCCGTTTTCTTCAGGCTTGTCTTGGGGCTGCAGCAGTGTTGAGTTGCAATCACAACTCTTGCCTCTACTGATAACCAGCAGGTCGATCTAAAGATCGGATTCTGGCCTGAAGAGATAGAGAAGCTTCTTTCTTCCCCAAACGCTCGCCCTTCAGGTAGATTTGGATGGAAATGTCAGCTAGTCGGAGCCGGGTTTGCGGCTGTTCTGCTCAGAATCACTTTTCACTGAAGGGAAAAAAAAACTCAGAAGAATTGAGCCCCTTACTCCTTTGTGTCAGCAAGAAAAAAAAAAGGCATCAATATAGTGTTACAGAATTAGCATTAAACAGTGCTAGGCTTAAAGCACAGTACAAAGCCAGTGCCACGAAATTTCAACGAACTTAAATTTCCTCCAAAATCTTGTTTTAGTTGCTGAAAATCAACTTACCTTCTGCTTTTTACTACCTCAAGAAGAAAACTTTTCCAATAAAGCACCTTCTCCCAAACCTTCTGAGAGGGTTTCACTCCTGTTCCAGTTCCCACCCCCTGGGAGGACTGCCGTGCATTTTCACCCAGTTTGCAGGGAATTCCAAGCGGTGACTACCTCGAACACGAGACCCTGCGCTCGCACGTGCAGCCTGCAGCTTCCCGCGGGGAGAACGCCGCGTCCGTCCCCGCGCGGCGGCGGCAGGGCCCGGGACACCGTCGGGTCCACAGGGACAAACCGCAGGCCCGGGGCGCGCTGCAGCGAGGACGCACGGCCCGTGCCAACAGCAACGCTGCTGCGCGCAGCGCCACGGGCACGCGACTCATGGGCAGCCCCGCGGCACGCGGCCCTCCGGGCTGAGGCCGATGAGGCTTCGCTGCCCTCTTGGGAAGACGCTGCCTTCGAGGCCGCTTTCTTTTGGCAGGGGATGCTCCCACCCCACGGAGCTGGAGCCGGGCAAACCGATGTGGTTTCTCGAGCACCACGTCTCCTTCCATGTCACACTGGGGAAAAACAAGTGCCAAGAGACGAGACAGGGTGTTTTAGCTCTCCCAGAGGTGCGCGTAAATGTGGGGGTGAGGAAGACGGAAAAGCTTCCTTGCAATAAGCAAGAAAGCGCCCACAAAACTCTGGAAACCTTTATTTTTTGTGCAAAAATTTAAATAAGTTTATTGAACCGATCCAAACCGATTACCTAATTGGCCTGAATTCCACTGCTACGTCTGCAAGCAAACCAAAGGCAAATTGCGGGAAGCATATTCCCCATGAGAGAAACAGGAATAAAAAAGAGATGGACTTACAGTTTTTCCTTTTTCTTTAAAATTACATACGGATGCATAATTAATAGAGTGCAAGAATAGAAAGAACTTCATGTTTAAATTATATTTGAAGTTTCCAGTAACCACAGAAAAGCAGTCACAGAGACAGAGGCCCAAGACGGTGAAAGCCCCTGCCCCGCTGCGTCGGGAGCCTCCTGCATTCTGCACATCGCCTGCATTTCAAACCTGTACACACATGGAACCGAGAGAATCCCATTACAAGCAGAAAATGGCAACTGACAGAGGCAGAGCCGGCGCGTTGCGTTTTTAGGACTGCAGAGCAGAGGAGGCGAGGGCGAAACGCGGGGCACGGGGCACAACGGCGCACGGCTCCGTCGAGGGCTCCCGAGCCACCGCCGACCCAGCACCATCTACCACCAGGATGCATGCACGCAGCCCCCAGGAAAGCACCTCAAAGCCCCTACAAACCCCCCAGGGAGCAGAGGACAAGCCCCCGCCACGCTGCACGCATTCGCAACGGTGCCGGGGAGCAATCCGGCTGTTACGGCTGCTGGAAACGTGGATATTCAGGAGGAGGGCACCCGAAAACACAGCGGCGCAGCAGCTGCTCTTGCTGTGCAGAGCCGTGTGGTACTTTGGTATATAGCTGTCACCTAATTCCTTGTGAACCAGGTGCTTTTTCCACTGCGCAAACTGCCTGTGGCGGCCTTTTGTGCATGAACTAGCACGAACAACAGCACGGTTCTTGACGGAGGCCGCGCTCCGATAAAAGGACACAAAAGCAGGAGAAGCTCGCAAGTCTATTCTGCCTTCTCCAAAGAACACGACAGAACTAGGGGCTTTCTGACAAACCGAGGATGCAGACCTTTATGGCACGGAAGAGATTTAAACTGAACTTCCCCTGCCATCTCAGAGTGCTCCCGGGCTCCCACCACCCACGTTGTGCCAAAGCAGCCACCTTATCCAGAGCCCTCTCCCCAGGACTCGGTCCCTTACGAAGGGGTAACATCGCACGAAGGCCTGACCCTTTCCAAAAGCTCTGAGATACAAAAAGGGACCCGATCAGGAACACGCTGTGGCACTGCCCAAGGCCACGCGCCTGGACGCGGCCTTGGGACGTGCCTTTTCCTTCTCAAACCCACCCGGCACTTTTGGGTTTCGCCCGACGCACGCTCTGCTGGCCGCAGAGAAGGTGGACGGCTCTACAACCCTGCCCACAAATGCCCTTCCCCTCACGAAGAGGCAAGACCACGACATTTGCACCGTGATTTAGCAGCCCTGGGCAGAGCAGGGGATCCGGTCTAGGTGCTCACACCTCATCTCCAGCGGCTCTGCAGCACGTGCCAGCCTGGAATGCCTGGAAGCGTTTGCCTTTTCCATTTTCCACTCTCCACCAGGCCTGCTGCAAAGCAAACCATTACTTACGGAGAGCTCAGGGCCAGCGTGGTGACACCATCATTCTCCATGCAGACAAGCGTAACTTGCTGCAGGCAAACAAACTTACAAGCACATATTTGGTCCTTCTTTAAAATCCCATTCGATTCTTTAATTGACCTTGTTTATTTCCTTCTCGGGAACTGAGACATTTAATTGTGCTGAAAAAGTTGGTCAATAATTACAGCATCTCATTAATACCAGTTACAGTGCCATAAATATACCCACATAGGTAATTACTGCTCTATAGAATTAGATCAGGTATTTCCTAGTACCTGCATCAGTCGCTTACCTGTAAACATCCAGCAACTGATGGATAATGTACTTAAACAGGAGGTCATGGGAGAAATAGGCTTCTAATATTAAACAACCATATCTTCATAAAACTTTGCTTTATAACAAAATATCTTATTAAACACAACTTCTCCTATGCGTACGTATGTATATATCATATATAAGTGTTGGCTTTAGAGTTCCACTATAAGGCAGCAAACGCCTTTCACTACCCAAATGGAAAATACATCTTCAGTAAAGCTCTAGCTTATAAAAGCATCATCTTATGTTACACGGCTGCCATCTCCCCATTCTGCGTGATGGGTACCAGGGTCCCACAGCCCACACTGCGGACTCTTGCTCTGTTTCGTATTGCTCATCTCAGCAACGCCACCAG